CTGAGGAGCTGGCAAGACGGGTGGATCCGCTGGTCTCGTTTTCTGCTCTTCCGCTGACCTGCCGTCCACGGCTGAACAAGAGAATAAAAACAAGCGTTTTCCCACTGGCCACACAGCCTAGAGGAGATTCAAAGTGGGTCGTAGAGGACGACATCGCAGCAGCCGTGATCCCTTAGGAAAGGACGTGCTGAGACCTGAGGAAGGTCATTCAGGTGAATCCCAGAACGGCCAGAGGGAACCCAACCTTTCTCGAGGCGCTGGCAGTTGTGGTCCTTAACCCCAACCCACGCCCCACGAGCAGGGCGTCTTAACCTCCTCCCTCTCAGGGAGTACAAATGGTAGCAGGCAGGCCACAGGCCTGAGCCGCCTGCAGCACCTCCTCAGCCTTCCTTGCTGCCCCTCAGCACCTCACGGAGAAATACAGCAGGATCCCCTGCAGGCTCACCAGGACTCTGCCCGGGGCCTTTCCAGAAACGGTAACACGGGGAGGAAGTTGGGGAGGGGGGTCCCAGCAGAGCTTGGGACCACAGGACCTCCATTTCTCTGCGAGACAGAAAGGAGGGAACGCGGGTACAGACAGCAGATGCTGAGGAAGCTGCCATGGACAAACGGAACTCACATCCCCGTCTAGCCCCACGGCTGACAGTGCTCCCGCTCCTGGTTGCCTGGACTTCTTGCCCACCTGTGGCCCGCCCCGCCCTCAGGGATGGTGCAGCTGGTACCTCTCCACTGGTCAGCCACGCTGATGTAGGACAGGAAGCCACAGAGCATCAGGAACGTGAGCGAGAAGAGTATCACGTTCCGCTGCAACCTCGACAGCTGCTTCCATTTCTAAGGGAGGCACGGGGAAGGAGGCTTGTGACCGGAAACAACAGCACCGGGACCCCGGTCCGCCGCGGCCAGTTCGTTCCCGCGGCCGGAGCAGGGGCCCTCTCGGCACGGACAGGGACGCCGGGAGAGCCGCGCGGAGGAGCCCCGCCTACCGCACGGCCGCGGCCGAAGGGACCCCGCCGTCTGCCCGGACGCGAGGTGTGGACGCCCCGAGCCCGAGACCGCGGCGCCCAGGCCGAGCTCCTGACCCGCCGAGCTCCGGCCCCAAAGACGGCTGCGGGTCGGCGACCCCGGGACCCCGCGACCCCGGCCCGGACCCTCACCCTCCAGCACGAGCGCCGCCGCCAGCTTTTGCTTCCGTCGTAGCTCTGGCCGAGGCTCAGCGTCACCGAGATGAAGTCCCGATGCGGCGCCGGCGGCGGCAGCGGCAGCGGCGGATACATGACAGCGTCGCAGGCGGCCCGGGGGGGCCCCGCCCCCTAGCGGCGTCAGGAGGCCGGGCTCTGAGAGGGGCCGGGGGCTCCGCTGGTCCGACACCTGCGGGCAGCCATCGCAGCGGCGTCCACACCCCGCCCATCGCGTGCGCCGCCAATGCGCCTGCGCCGCGCCCTCCTAAACCCCGCACTGCGCCTGCGCGCGCCCTCGCGGCCCCTGCGCGCGCGCGCGCGCGTGTTTACGTCCCACGGCGTCGGCGCACGGCCGCACCTGCGCCGTGACCTCACGGCCTCGGCGCTCGCCCGCGCGCGCCTGCGCACAGCCGCACCTGCGCCGTGACCTCACGGCCTCGGCGCTCGCCCGCGCGCGCCTGCGCACAGCTCGCCCGCTCGCGCGCAGCCTCGGCCTGGGCTCGGCGTGCGCTCCGGGGAACCCGCCGGCGTCGCCGCGTGGCGGGGATTCCGGGGCCCGACTGCCCCGCCCGGAGCTAGGTGGGCCGCGCAGCCCGGCGACGGGACGGCGGCTCCCCGCGTCCATCGTCGAGGCGCGACGACGGCCCCCGCAGCGAGTGGAGGCGTCCCGAGGGTCGGCTGGGCTCCGGGCCGTGCTCGGTGCTGTGCGGCCGGGCCCCTGGGCTGAGCCCGCCGCCCCCCCGCGGTCTTGGCCGTGCGTCCTGCTCCATGAGCACCGGGCCTGTCCCCGAGAGCCCTCGTGCGCTCCGGTGCCCCCACCCCTCTATCGGCGGAGAGGGCGGGCAGACTGGGAGCCGCCCCCAGGGTGTCCGACCCACTCACTGGGTGGTCCCAGCCCCTTCACCCCCGCCCCCGCTGAAGAGTTGGGCGGCGCAGAGCGCGAGCGGCGGGGCGTGTGGCCCCCTGTTCCGGCGCACGGACGAGCGCGGCAGGCACTGCTCTGGCCGGGCCCGGGATGGGATCATCACGGCTTCCTGCGTTTATTGGAAATCTGCCCCGCCCCCGCCCCCGCCCCCGCATTCTGTCGCATCCGAGCGTGGCAGTCCCTCAGAAGTCAGTGGTTCCACGATGGCTCGTCTGGGGTCAGAGACTGTCCGGGTAGCCCGAGGGGCCTCTCTGGAGGACACAGCGGGAAGGGGCGCGCACGCCCGTGAGAAAGGACTGGGAGCCCTACCATCCTGTAAGCTGCGGGTCAGCGGAGACGGCGGTCCGCACCCGGCACCTCCCTGCCTCCCTCCGCGCTGTGTGAGACCTAATAGAAGGGTCTAATTATTTTAAAATAAACCGCCCTTTCACAGCAACGGCGTCCGTAGCTGACCCTCCTGCTGAGAAGACAGGTTGCACAGTTTGGGGCTGTGGCGCTGGGGAGCGGCAGCTGGGGGCGAGACCCGCGACCTACCGGGACCTCCCCCTTGGCGGCCCTTCCCCGCCCCGGGCCCTCCGCTTGCCTGCGGAGCAGCCGAGGGAAGGGTCCCCAGGCACACGGGTCACCTCTGAGGTTACGAAGGACTGGCAGGGCCTGGGGGGTACACAGTCCTCCTGGGGGGGAGGGGTTGGGCGCGGCCCAGGTCAGGATGCAGGGGGCCCAGCGCCCGCTGCAAGCCGCCGTCCAGAGGACATCCTTTTCCTGGGGGGAGCCCGGCTCCCACGCGGTGAGGGCTGCAGCGCAGGCCAGGGTGGGGGGTGACCCCCTGTGTTGCCTTGCGGAGGGGAAAGCAGGCAGGGGCGAGGGGCTGGGCCCGCGGCTTTCCCCCCAGCCCCGGTCTGGCTGCAGGGGTGCAATGCCCGAGCCTGCGCCCCGACATGGAGGCCGCGTCTCCCTCTAGAGAGCGCCACGACGTGTGGCCGACTAGCAAGCCCGCTTCCGGTCGGTGGAGAGTCGAGGGGTGGAGCTCTCTCTGGCCGCTTGCGTTCCAGACTGAGGAGCCACGTGGTGAGGCCCCTAGTGTCGGCCCCCTGGTTCTTGGTCCCCCTGGTTCTTCGTCGAAGCACCTAAAATGCAGGGGCCTGAACCAACCACAGAGGTGGCGGAGGAATCGAGGCCTCTGGGGAAATGGAGAGGCTCCCCCTTTAGGTGTGCAGGCTGAGTGTGGGCTGGGGGTGGTGAGAAATTGGGGGCCAGGCTGTGCCACCCCCCCCCCAGCCTCACCCGGCTTCCTGTTGGCTGCCAGGGAGGGAGGGAGGGGGCAGCACCTTCCACACCTCGCCCTGCGAGGGAGGGGCGCCCTCCCCTCCCTCCCCTCCCTCCCTGCCCATCTGTGTATCTGCAGAGAAGCTGCGTGGCTGTCGCTCTTCACCAAGGGGAGCTGCGTGGAGGGCTAGAAGGGGCCATTGATCCTCCAGTCCCCCCCCACCCCCCCCAGGCAGGGAACGGGACCGGGATGCCACACTTCTGCCTCCCGCAGCCAGGAGCCCAGAGTAAAAAACCCTCGTAGGTCTCTAGCAGGCCTAGGATCATTTGTGTCCGTGGGAACCCGTGGTGGGAGAGGCCCCACCCTGGTGGAGTAAGCTGTGTCCCCAGCCCTCAGGCCCTGGGGTTGGCAGGTCTGGGAGCCAGTCAGGCCTGCAGAGCCCTGGCCTGGTTCTCATCCAGGATGAAGGGGGACCGGAACTCGCGGCCTTGCAGGTACATCTCCAGACCCTGGAGACAATAAAGTCATGATGGCCACATTTTCACATCTAGTGCATAGAGGGGGCACAAACTGTTCTTGAGCCACAGTAAGGCAGGGCCGGAGAGGCTTCCAGAACAAGGCTTGGATGCCACCTTTAGACCCAGGTCCTAGGAGTCTCTAGGCATGCTCAGGGAGGTCCAGTCAGAGGGTCGGGGCCAGTATCGCTCCCTCAGCAAGGCTTCCATAAAGTCTTCCTTGCCGGAACCCCAAACGCTGACATCTTCCTGCCTCTCCGAGACCTATGAGGATCTTGATTCCTCATCCCCACTCATGGCCCAGAAGATCCTCTCTAACTTAAGAAACTATTTGCCCCATTGGTAAACTGAGTCAGAGCTGTGACCTTCCACCCCAGCACCCACTTCTCCCCAGTCTTCCCCCCCCAATCATGCATGCCCTACCCCAGAAAGCTCTAGACGGGGCCGTCGGCTCTCACCTCTCCAGCGTAGGACACCAAGGGTGAGATCTCACAGATGGCTGGAGGCTCTGTGCCGTCCGGCAGGCTGTGGGAGCCCACGTGTCAGCACCTGCTCCGGGGTGTGTGCCCTGGGGCTGTCCTTGCCTGACCCAGCTCCCCAAGGTCTCTTCTCAGCAATCCCCGCTTCCTCTGCACACCCGGAGCCCTCCGCAAACTGCCCCTGCCCAAGTGGCAGGCTCTTCTTTGGGCGGGAAAACCCCCCTCGTCCCTGCAGGCACCCCTCACAGCACCCGGGCAGCCAGGTTAGGCTGGGGCTGCGGATAACTGAGAAGATGGAAACCTCACATCCTTTCCTTCGCTGGCCCTGAAGAGTGACCTGCCTTGCTGTTTTCCAAATGTCATGCCGAGGTCTTGGTTTCAGAGCTCATAAGTGAGTCAGGAAGGGTGGCAGCCACCCACCTCCCCCAGTCCCCAAGCAGACTTCTAGGGGTTGGCCCCGAGGCCCCAGTCACCGCAAGGTTGGCCAGGGCATGTGGCCACTCGGAGCACAAGGCCACACCACAGCCCAGCAGAGTCGGCAAGCCTGGGGCTGGGGGATGGACCCGGATAGAGCACGCTGAGGCCACACTCACCTGGGCAGTTCAGGGAGCCGGGCCCCACACGCATCCAGGAAGTGGGCCCCTGCCTGCAGGGCCCAGCGGTAATGCTGCATGAGCAGGGCACGCCGGGTCACGGCGGGGTTGTCTCTGGCATCCGAGGCAGCATTCTTCAGAGGAGAGAACTCCTCCTCCCGAGACACTTCAAAGGCCACGAAACTCCTGTGTGGATGAGAACTAGTGACCAGATGTCCTGGCCAGAGGCCCTGGTCCTGGGCAGGTGAAGGCTGCACTGCAGTGACGATGAGAAGGGGCAGTCGCCTCTATGGAGGGGCCACAGGCAACACCTGCATCTTTGCTCCTGAGATCCCTGCGGCTGCTTGACGTCCTTCCATTCCCACCAGCCAAACCCCCAGACCCTGGGACCCCAGAGTAAGAGCCAACCCCCCCCCCCGGGGAGGCCCCCAGCCCCCTGGCCTGGAAACAACCTCCTAACCCCGGGCCAGGAACAGACAGAGGGCTCAGGAGGAGCAGGGGTGTCTCCCCGAGTACACAGCCCCAGATGCTGCCATGCTCACAATGCGGGGGCTGCTTCCCCTGGTGTTGTCCCTGAGCCTGCCTACAGCCCCTGCTCCCCACTGCAAAGGGGGTGGCCCACTGTGTGCCCCACATGCCTCCATTCCCGGCCCAGCTGGGCCTCAGAACCCACCACCAAAACAGAGAGGAAAGAAAGAAAAAATAAATGACTTCTGCCACTAACTTAGCAAACGGGAACACATCAAACACAAACTTCTCCATCTTTATCCCGTTTGGTTTTATCGGCTTTACCGGATTTCCCTCCTCATCCACGTATGGGACCTTCTTCACAGCCACATGTGGCTTCAGCAAGGGCTCAAACTCGCTGGAGAACAACAGGATGACAAGACGAGGAAAGACACAGTTCAGACAGGACACCCCGGGGAGCCACTCTGGCCACCACCCGCGGCCACCTGCTGAGCACACCTGCTGACCATCTGGAGGAAGCCTCGGGTGAAGAAGTGGTTGCAGATGTTGCCCAGGCTGTAGAGCAGGTGCCCATCAGGCCCACGAAGCTGAGCAGTCTCGGGGCTGACCTCGCTGTACTCCACCACCTGGGGGACCCCGTCCACCTGGCACACCACACCCACTGGCTCCTCTGGGTAGGCCTTTTCCACCACCTGCGGCCAAGGCCTGGGCTGGGAAGGCTGACGGGGCGGGGCCCGGCAGACCGAGGGCGGGGCTGGGAGGAGGGGCGGGGCCAGGCGGACAGGGGGCGGGGGGGAGGAAGGGCTTGGCGGACAGGGTACGGGCCAAGCGGACCGAGGCGAGGAGGGGCGGGGCGAGGCAGACCGGGGCGGGGCCAGGTGGACCGGGGTGGGACTGGGAGGAGGGACATGACCGGGTGGACCGGGGACGGGCGGGGGAGGGGCTGGGCAAGCCGGGGGGGCGGGGTGGGGGGGTGGGGGGGGGCTCACCTTGGCCCCACAGTCTGCGCCGCGAAGCACGCAGAAGCCAATGAAGACCGGGTCAGCCAGCCGCACGAGGATGTTGTCCACACAGTACACATGCACAAACTCCACTCCTCGACGCTCCATGTCCTCCAGAATCTGGTGGTCTGACAGTGCGCAGTAGAGCCCCCCATTGCCATCTACAGAGGGAGAAGGACCGCTCTTTCGAGGACTCCAGCTGGGCTTCAGCCATCTAGTCCAGGGCGTGCTGGAGGCAGGGGAGGCCCCTTGGGGCTGGACCTTGTACCTGAGGCAGCACTTCATCACAATCCAAGTAGCCCTATGGTTGTCTCATGTGACAGATGGGAATCAAGGTCCAGAGAGGGGGGGCCCCTTGGCTGGGACCATAGAGCCTTGAAGCATAACGCTTCAGCCTCTGCTACAGTCCTCCCAACCTCTAATTAGCTCCTTGGTCTAGGCCAGCTAGTCCTTCCCCGGGTCAGGGGTCATGCATACCTGGGGCCATGGCAACCTTGTCTTTCTGCTCCAGGATGGCCCTGCCATCGAAGCTCACAGCAGGCAGCATGCGCTGTTCAAACATGATCACGTTATTGGGGTCCCGGTGGAAGAAGTCATGCTCCTGGAAGAAGGTGGCTGTGGGCCCCAGCGTGAACTCACTCGTCATGATGTACCTTAAAGGACAGGCAAAGCTGAGAGGGCCATTTGAAGGGCCCAGCCCCTCTGGGACCTGGGGCTCTGATGGGGGCTGGTCTTGGGGTCCAGCCTAGGTAGGTGCCGGGGTTGGGGTTCAGGTCGTGATGCAGGCCAGGACTCATGCTACCCGGGCAGGGGATTATTCTGGGGTCAAGGTAATACAGAGAAGGCACACCAGGGGATGGTACAGCGGGTCCCATGGCGCTCGCCAGCAAGCTGCTCCACCCGCTGAATCCGTTCGGCCTGCAGCTGATACAGGCTCTTCTGGCTGGGCAGCCCCACCTGATACATGCCTTTGGGGTAGGTCACGCCTAGGCGAGTCCCCTGCCCCCCAGCCAGCAGCAGCACAGCCACCTTGTTCAGAGCGATCTGGCGAAAACCTGGAGGTGCAGGGTGCCGTGAGGGGACACCTGGGACCTGCCACAGAACCACCCCTTCACCTCTCAGCAAGCCAGACTTGTGTCTAGGGCTCTAAGACTTCATAGCGATGGGACAGAAATCTTCAAATATCTTTTGATCTCCTGTGGGCTCAGGCCCCACACAAACCCCCCTTATCAGGACCCACCAGGGGTCGTCATGGCATCCTCCAGGGTTCATTCCCAGCCTGGGTCCTTCAGAGAGAACACCAGGTCAGGCCAGTCAGAGCAGTGCAGTGGGGGCCCTGGGCTTCCCTCCAAGAGCACCTGCCTCACCTGTGAGGCCAAGAGGCCAAGAGTGCACCTGGGAGCGCTAATGTGAAAGGGAGCGTGTGCCAAGGGGTTCCCTGAGGTCAATAGGTGTGTGGCTGGGCTGCTGGCTAGCCAGGTGTGCGCCTGCACGGAGCATTCTCCCGAGGGCAAGCCGCCTGGGGGCAGGCGCCACCTTGGCGGCCTTTGGAGCCCGACACCCCAGTCGCTAGCTGCGTGGGAAAGGGGTCCCCACAAAGAAATAAGGCACGCCAGCTCCTCCAAGTACCAGCTCTCCTGTCTCCCCATGTTGGGCAAGCCCCTCCGCTAGCCAGGCCCGCCCCGCCCGGGACCCCCGCCGCCCCGCCTACCTTCCTCCTCCCAGAGCAGCCGGGTCTCGGGGTCGCACCGGCTCGCGCTGCCAACGCACTCGGGGGGCAGGGGCCGCAGGCGCGCGGCCAGGTCGGGGGGCGGGCCCGGGGGATGCGCGCAGGCCGCGGCCGCCCGCCGGCAGTGCTCCCGCAGCGCCTCGGGCTCCAGCGCCCCCAGCTCCGCTAGGAGCGCGGCGCGCTGCCCCGGCGCTAGTTCGGCGCAGAAGCGCAGCAGGTGTTCCTGGCCCGCGCGCTGCAGCCTGGCGCGCACCGCCGGCTCCGAAGCCATGTCGCCTCGGCCGGCCGCGCTGGCACTCGTGACCCGAGCGCTCTGCCGGAGTCACGGGATCCAGCGGCGGGCGACGGCCCTAGAGGGGCGGGGCTAGGACGCCCCGCCTCGACCCCGCCTCCGAGTGTCCCCTCCCCTCTCTGGCCCTGACCCCGCCCCTGTCCGCTCGGCCACAGCGGGAGGCGCAGGGGCCCAGTCCAGGCGCTGGGGCTGCCTGAGGCAGGGATCTGCGACCCCTCTGGCCCTGGCGCGTGAGGGCTGACTTCAGGCCTAGTACACCCCCTTCTGGACCCATAGCCCTGCTGGTCAGGGCACCTGAGGGGGAGGCTAGGGTCTATCGCTCCCTGCGGCTATGTCTGACCCCTGGCGGCTGGGCCGGGGAGGATAGAGCTAGACCATCAGTAGGGTTAGGTGGCCTGATGCCACCCAGGACCCCCAAGAAGGCCACCCCGCATCCTTGGGGGCTCCCTCCTTCACATCCCTCCTCCGCACTGCCATTTAGCCAGAACCGTTCAGGAGCAGGCCTTCGCCCTGCCACGTTGTATTAACTGTTAGAGTTTAAGATACCTTGCTGTTTATAAACTCCCTCCGGGAAAAATAATGAGTAGCTTTGGCCATTTGGGGACAAACCTTTCTTCTAGAAATTAGTTTTATTAAGACTAAAAATGATACATGGACAAGGTTAAAACAAATTCAAATGATACTTTGGGACCCAAAATGAAAAGTAACATCTTCCTCAGGCCTGCCCTCAGATAACCCCTGTTAGGGTGATTCAAACACCTTGGAGGCAGGTTCTGCACATACAGGCTCCCACACACCCCCATCCTGGGTTAGGAAGTAGGACTTCACAGCTCCCTGGGGCCACTCTAAGTTCTGGTGGACCTGAAAGAATTATCTTCCCAAGATGGCCTTAGGCCTGCCTGGGGCCTTTGCACTTGCTGTTCCTCCTGCCTGGACTACTTTTTCCCAGAAAGTGACTTCCTGCCCCACTTTGCCAGGTCTTTTTTTTTTTTAAGATTTTATTTATTTATTCATAGACACAGAGAAAGAGGCAGACACACAGACAGAGGGAGAAGCAGGCTCCATGCAGGGAGCCCAATGTGGGACTCAATCCTGGGTCTCCAGGATCACACCCCAGGCTGCAGGTGGCGCCAAACCGCTGGGCCACCAGGGCTGCCCTGCCAGGTCTTTCTACTCATGTGTTGCCTCCTTGGGGAGACCCGCCCAGGTCATGTTGGTTCAGAGAGCACCCTCCCATTCACCTCTGTTCCTTCCCACCTTTCTGTATTTTTTGCTGCCCGACTTCTCCAAAGAAGGAAGCTCCATGGCAAATGGACGTGGTTTGGTTCACTGCTCTACCCCATAGCCTCAGATCAATGCCCAGCACACGGCAGGTACTCAGTATGTGTTTGTTTAATGGGTGAGTGAGTGTTGGATCCCACACCCAGCTCAGTGACTGGGCCATATCAAGTGTTCAGGGAGTGCTTGCATGAATGAATGAATGAATGAATGAATGAATGATCTGCTTCAAGTTTGTGGCAGTTGAAGGGCATCTGTTAGAGGTGGAGGATGTGCACGGGAGGCAGGGAACCAAGCAGAGTGGGCTCCACATTCCAGGCCAGAGTCCATGTGAACTCTTACTACCCTGCACATGTGCCCTTGAAGACAAGTGTCTCGTAAACTCAGGGCTCATCTCAGAGTGACCCCTAAATCTCGCTTCAAGGTGGGGGTGGGGCTGAGATCAGAAGGGTTTGGACAGCTGAGGCTATGTAGGCAGAGGCACCTGACAGGCCAGAGAAGGAGAGCTGGCCCACCTGGGCAGACAGGTGAAGGTGCCAGAGGGGCAGAAGTGAGTAACAACCTCCTAGACAAACCTGGCAAAGACAGGTTTCTGGCCAAGGCGTCACCTGCCTTTTGCCCTAGGGCTTCGTCCAAAGGGTTCCGGGGAGCCAGGGCCCAGAGGCCAGCGTGGGTCCCTGGTTGTTACTGCAAGAGTGGAGACCAGCGGATCCTGGAAGAGGCACAGGGACTGTGTTAGGCTGGGGTCAGAGGGCCTCCCCATCCACCTCCAGGGAGCTGCAAGCTGGCACAGTGAGAAAATAATTACGACTGGGTCAGGCACTTCAAGAGCCACAGGGGCCCCACGAAGTCTGGGAAGCCCCCTGGGGGCGACAGCAACACTGAAGGGTACAGAGCTAGGAGAGCTTTAGGCCAGACTGGAAAGAGGGGTGGAAGGAGGAAGTGGTTAGAATTCAGAACAGGAAGTACACGGGGGCATGCTGTGGGCTCTACAGTTTCTTCTGTCCCTTCCACCAGTCCCTAGCCAGGGAAGCCCAGTGGGAAGCCCACGGACCAAGGGCCTCCTGCCTCATACTTTCTGATGCTCAGAGAAGGCCTGTTTCCTCTGTACAATGGGTTCAGGTTCACAGGCCCCTGGCCTGCGTGCTGCTGTCCTGCTGTCCTGCTGTCCTGAACTGTCATAGCACTGCTTGCTACTGCTGGCAACAGGCTTCCACATCTACAAAACCCCCATAGAGCTGTCTCCAGGCCTCCCCACCCCACCCAAGGCTGGTGTTTCCACTGTGATCTGTAGGATGAGGCTTCCCACATACTGGCCACCCACTAAGCCTCCACTGTGGGCAAGACTGATGCCAGGCCATGTGGTGGCCCTGTCCTGCTTCCAGAACGCACAGGGAGGGATTCATGGGGAGAGAGGCACCATTGCTAGCAGAAAGCACCCTCATGCTTTGAAAGTCAGGACGTGTAACCAGACTTCCAAGGGTGGGTCGGGTATCTAGGTGGAGTTTCAAAGGATGCAGAGTGATGACCCCAGAGCAGACAGGAAAAGGTGTTTCTGGTGGGAAAGCTACCATGTGCAAGGGGTACATGGTACCCCTATCATGTAAGGAACTGCTGGGTCCCTTAAGGATGGGGCACCTGGGCAGCTGTGCTGGAAGGAGAGCAGGAGAGGGGATGAACTGCAGGACAAGTGGCTTGAACGCTTTTCTAGGACTTTGGCTAGTCCTGCCACTAAAGAGGAAGGCAGGGATGGATCGGGCTCCATGGGGAAACTCTAGGCTCACAGCTTTCTAGGTCCTTCCAAAATTCCTTACCACAATGGGGCCCCACCTTTGAGGGCTGTGAAATTAATAAAGCGAAGCCCTGATGGGGGAGCTCTCAGCAACGTAGAACCTGTCCCAGCTCACCTCACATTCCTGGGCAGGAAGAAATTCACTTCACTACCCTAACAGGAGGAAGGATTCCCTTCTTGAAGTGAGGCTGGGCTAAGCTCAAGCCTCCTCCCAGCCTGGCCAGACAGGACTGGATCCTGGCTGGAAATGAAGCAGGGGCCACTGGGGACACAGCTGGAGGAAGTGTCCAGCCGGGGGAAGGGGCTGGAGCAGAGGAGAGCTGGTCAACCAGATGGGGATCTGGGGACACAGGAAAAAGTGGCTTTGTCTCGGGGTAGGCAGGAAAGGCCAGGCTATCCCCAGGGACAAGGGGAGGAGCTAGCCGCAGCGTGGACAGAGAGGCCTCTGTGAGGGGAAGCGCCCAGATGGCTGGAGCCCACAATCCTCTTGGGACTCTCCTGGCAAATGGGCCCTAAGAGTCAGGGTGCCTGGGTCAGGGGACCCCGAACTGGGGGCGAAGAGTGCCCAAGGGAGCCGGACAGGGAAGTTGAATCCCTGGAGGAGATGTGCTTCCATCCTTGCCCCACGAGGCCACCCCGACAGGTTTTCTGTAGGGCGGCAGGCCCCGCCCCCTCCGAGAGGGCTGAACCGCTGCGAGCGGGCGGCGGGCGGCGGGCGGCGGCGGGAGCAGAGAGAGGTCCGTTCAGGGCTGCGTCCCCCTCCCGGTGAGACCGAGGGCCGGCAGAGCTCCCGGCCCCGCCCCCGCCCGCTCCGGGCCTCGGTGCAGCCCCGGCCGCGGCGGGCTCTGCGGCGGGAGCGCGCGGGGCGGGGCCCTCGGAAGAAAATCAAACCGGGCTGGCGGCCTCTCAGCCAATCCGAGAGCCGAAGGGTCAGCCCCGGCCAATAGCCGCCGCGGATGCTAATGAGCGCTGACATCACGAGGAGGGTCCATTCAAAAAGTCGCAGCTATTGTCGCGGCGGGTTGCGCGCGCCGGCCGGGCCCAGCCGTCGGGCTGCGCGGGGACGGAACTCCGGACCGAGCCGGGAACCGAGCCTGGCGGCGGCCGCCCATGGCCGGAGCCGCAATGGCCGAGCCGGGCCGCGGGCCGCCCGGCGCTCCCGCGCCCACGCCCACGCCGGGCACGGAGGGGCTGCCGCGCGCCTTCCTGCAGAGCCTGCGCACCCTCTTTGACATCCTGGATGACCGGCGGCGCGGCTGCGTGCACCTGCGCGAGATCGAGTCCCGCTGGCAGGGCGCCGACGCGCGCGAGTTGCCCCGCGGCGTGCTGGAGGGCCTGCGCCAGGTGGCCCCGGCCAGCGGCTACCTAACCTTCGAGCGCTTCGTGGCCGGCCTGCGCACCTCGCTGCTGAGCGCCGACGGCGGCCCGCGGGGCCAGGCGCGAGCCCCGGCCCGGGGAGGCTGCCCGGCGCGGCCTGGGGGACCGCCGCCGCCGCCGCGCCTGGTGTTCGCTCCGGCTGATGAGCCGCGGACGGTCCTGGAGAGGAAGGCCCTACCCCCGGGCGCGCGGCCCCCGCCAGCCGTCCCCGGAGGCGCGGCCCGCAGCCTGGAGAAGCTGTGCGCGCCGGCGGAGGCAGCGCCCGGTCCTGCGGAGCCCGAGCGGCCCCAGGGTGCGGCGCTGGAGCGGAGCCCGAGCGCGGACGCTGGTGAGTGCGGGGCGGCCCGGGCCCCTCCTGGTAGCAGACCCCGCCGCCCCCCGCGACCTGCGCCTCAGGCCAGAGCCCCAGAGGTGCTGCCTGCGCCTCTCCGACCGCGGGGTGCGGGGCCCAGAGCCCTAGGTGCCGACAGGGAAGGAGCCTGTCGCCTTTCCCGCTCAGGGGCCGGAGGCGTGGCTGGGGCCCGGGGGCTGCGAGGTGGCTCCCAGCTCCACCAGGAAGCCGCTCCCCCAATCCTGAGCCCACGGCGGGGGACGCCAAGGCCCTGAGCTGCGTCTCTGATGACACGTAGGCAGGGAGTTCCCGTCTAGTTCCGAGGAGACAGGGCACCCCACCCAGAGAGGGGCCCTCACTGCCCCTTTGGGTCCTTAGTGGCCGCTCCACCGCTGAGCCAGGGCAGGTTGGAGGTTTCCCAGGAGGCTCTGGCCTGGTTAACAAGAAGAGTAAAGCGGTGGGTGGCTCTTCAGCCCAGTCCCCAAAACCTACGGGGCTGACACCAGGGAGAGACCCAGACGCAGTCCCCCAACGATGGCCAGCAGAGTCCTTGCTTGGCTTCTGGTCCAGGTGGCCCTGAAAAGGAGATGGCTGAATGGCCCCCATGGTCCCCTCTAGTGTTGACCCTGGGAATAATAGCACCTGCATTCTGGTTGGGCGCTGGGTTCAAACCTCTCAGCCCTTTCAGCCTGGAGCGTGCACCCCTGGGCGCAGGCCTCCCGGCAGCCTCACCATGACAGCCCCACCATGGCAGCTGCCAGCCCTTCTATACCTTCACCACTCTGCCAGCCTCACTAGACCTCTGCCCCAGCCTTGCCCATATTCCCCAGCCCCATGACTGGCCCTTAGGGCCACGGTGGTTCCTGGCCTCCTGGGTGAAGCCATTTGGTGGCCCACCCCAGGCTGGGGCTCCCCTGCTCCTCACTGCCCAACCTCTCTGCCCCTGAGGTGTGGGAAGGCAGGGGGCACTTGGGGGTGCAGGGTCAGTGCCATCCCTGTGGCTGCACATCCTGGAAAATCAGCCAGGGTTTGGGATTTGGATGCCTCAGGCCTGTGGCCCAGCCCTGCTCTGTCCTGGTGCTCCATGTGGCCCTGGGTCATCTGCACCCCCTTGAGGGCTCAAAACAGGGGTGAGCAGGCCAGGCTCTCGCTGTCACCTCTACAGGTAGAGGCCCAGACCGGAGGCATGGCATGTTCATGGGTGCCAGATATGGAGCTCCAAGGTTCCCCTACTTCGGGGAGAAAGCCCCCATACACACAGAGCCCCCACCCCAAGACCCAGGGCCCCCTTCTTTGGCCCTGTGAGAGCTGCTGGTCATCCCACTGAACATCCAGTGTGCTGCCATCCAGAAATCTGGGAGCTGCTCCCCGACCAAGCCCAGGTGTTCTGGGTTGTTCCCTGACGCCCCCCCCCCCCACAGCCTCTCTCTGCTGTATCTTCTCTGCAGCCATGTGGCATGGGCAGGTTGGGACGCGATCTCTGCCTGTGCTTGGAGCCCGTCTGCCAGGGCCAGCTGGAGGCCTGCATGGCCACCCAATGCTGAGCCTGTGGACATGTCCCCTTCTTGGATCACCCACCCACTCCACTTGACCAGTGCCAGGGGCATATCCTGGGGGAACAGGGCTAGGTCCAGGGGAGGAGAGGGTGGTTTCCTCCACACCTGTGCCCTTGTGGTGCCCTGCACATTTGCCCCCACCCCCAGGGAAGCCAGCTGTCCCTGCTGGCTTTTCAGTACTGAGCAGACTCAGCTGCAGGTGACGCCTAAACTGTAGAAGCTCATAAGTTATGTGCTGGACACAGTCGGCCCAACTTTGTTTTATCCTTTCTGGGAAAGTTAGGTCTGGGCCACCTGTGCCCTCCCATCTCACCTGCACCAACTCCTGACTCCCTTAAAGGCCCCGAGAGACAAGGACAGAGAAACAGGGAAGGCCGGGGCCCTGGGGCACACAGCGGGTGCCAACACACACTGGGGAAAGCCCTTGCCCTCGGGGCACTGGTGCTAGGGCATGTGTGTTGTGTATACAAAAGTGAAACTTCAGAGGGCACACAGCCCTCCCTGAGATGGGGGTAAGGGAGTTGGTGGGGATCGAGTGAGGAGCCAGATCCCAGGCAGGCACAGAGGCAAGGGGTGTGCAGGCCTAGGCAGTGCCCAGGCCTGCAGGCTGGGTTGAAATGGTAGGGTCCATGCAGAGGCTCGGAGTTGCCCCAGAAGTGCAACCCCCAGAGGTGCATAGGCCTGGACACCCAACCCCGCCCTGGGTGTGATGGGATGGGCCTGCAAATGAGCCAGGTCCTCACCTTTGCTGCAGGTGCGGCAGCCTGCAGGCCCCGGGAGCTCAGTGTGGGTGATGCCCATCGGGTCCTTCGTGCCCGAGGGGAGCGTCGGCGGCATACCATCACCAACGGCGTGGACTGTGACCTGGTGAGTGAGGGCTCTGGGACAGCCAAGGCTGGGTTCGGGGGATGTCAGTTAATTATAAACATCTCTTTCCATGTGGGCTTGACTCCACTTGAGGGCTGACTCAAGGCCAGATGAGGAAGTCCTCTAGGGAGAAGGCAGCCTGGGTGTGGAGTGGGCACGGTCCCTCCCCAGAGCTGCCCCTGCACCCGCCGGCTTCAGAGAGTCCCCTTTGTTAGGTTTGCGCAGCTCAGCAGCGGCGTGTGCACCGCCTGCCCTAAAGGAGCTGCTGAGGTTGGGAGTGTTGCCTGTGTTCCCAGGGGGAGCCCACGAGGAGGGGCCATGGGAGGGAAGCCTCCCCCACCCAGCAGGAGAAATGGGGCTGTGGGTCCCAACACAGACTCACAGAGGGCCCACACGGGTCCAGGTGCTGCACCTGTGCTGGCAGGTTGGTGCTGGCATGGGTTGGTCCGTGGGCACAGCTCTGACTTGTGGGGCTGTGATTCATCACGCACATGCATAGGCCCACGCAGGTTTGCGCTGTCTGCGCACTTACTCACACATGTGCATCCCTCCATGTGGCAGCTAAAGCAGATGCAGGAGCTGGAACAGGAGAAGGAGGTGCTGCTGCAAGGTCTGGAGATGATGGCGCGGGGCCGAGACTGGTACCAGCAGCAGCTGCAGCGTGTACAGGAGCGCCAACGCCGCCTGGGCCAGAGCAGGGCCAGCGCTGTGAGTGATGCCACCCAGAGCTAGGCTGTCCCCAGACCGTGACCATCCACCTAACCCCAGGCACTCCCAGGCAGGTGCAGCACTGCTCTACTCCAGGGCACATTGACTGTCCTTCCACCCAGGGTGCTGGGCCCCCCCACACAGTGTGATGTTCCCCTAGGACACAAGATGCCCTGGAGCAGATGTCCCCCACCAGCTACACCCGTGGGCTACCTCTCTGTTCTCAGCAGTAATTCTGGGGGGGCCACCCTCAAGGCACAGTGGCTGATCTTGGGCTGGTCCTGCTTTCTGACTTTCCCCTTTCCTGCTTTCTTCCCAGGACTTTGGGGCTGAGGGGAGCCCCCTCCCACTGGGCCGGCTGCTGCCCAAGGTACAGGAGGTGGCCCGGTGCCTAGGGGAGCTGCTGACTGCAGCCTGTGCCAGCAGGGTGAGTGCCCCTCAGACCACCCAGTACCCACCTAGGGCCCACACCTGGCTTGGTGCCACCCCTCACCCTTGTCCTGGAGGCTGTGCCAGGGAATGCCTGGCCTGTCTGACCATGCCCTCCCATAGGCTCTGCCCTCATTGTCCTCGGGGCCCCCGTGTCCAGCCCCAGGCCCTGCCTCACCCTCCACCACAGGCTGGCAGCAGCAGACCATCCTCATGCTGAAAGAACAGAACCGTCTCCTCACCCAGGTAAGGGGCAAGGAGGGGTCTGGGGTGGGGGCTGGAGGCCTGGTGAGCCCTGACTGACCTCCTGCCGGCCCAGGAGGTGACCAGCAAGAGTGAGCGTATCACGCAACTGGAGCAGGAGAAATCTTCCCTCATCAAGCAGCTGTTCGAGGCGCGCGCCCTCAGCCAGCAGGATGCCGGGCCCCTGGACTCCACCTTCATCTAGTTGGCCATGGCCATGGGCATGGACACGGAGCTCTCAGGGCCTGGCCTGGCAGGCAGCCCGGGTGGGTACCTCAGGCTGAAGACCACCTGACTGGCCAGGACCCAGATTTCTTCCTCTCTTCCAATCTGGGCTCCCCCAGCCCCTCAGCCCCAGGTGGAGCCTGCATGTGGGCTGTGCAACATGTCCCATGGCCCCAGACACAGACCAGGTTGTAGCCCCGGGGGTGCTAAACTGGGGTGGGGCTTCCTAGTGCTAACGTGGCCCTAAGCTGCTACTACCACTGCCAGTGGACACTGGGGGATCCTCCTCACGTTTACCTGATCTTGGGCAGCTCTGGGCAGGCCCCCTCCCGTATGTACATGCAGCTGGCTTTTCCCTTATGACCTGGGGTCTCCAGTAAGAGGTACTGGTCCCACTGGGCTGCACTTCTGACCACAGCCAGCAGAGGGTGCCTCGCGCTCGCGTACCCAAAGCTGCCCAGCAGATGCCTCTGTGAGGTCTGTGGTCAGGTGCCCTGACCAGGGCTGGCAGGCCTGGGGGCCCAGCAGGTGATGGGGCCCAGGAGCCCCAGGGCATCTTCCCTCTCTCAGGTCTGGTGGCTGTCTTTCTCCTAGAAGCAGATGAAAACGGTAAAGGGTGGTTTCTAGGAGGAGGTCTGCTTGTGTCAGAGGTCATGCCTGGGCCAAGGCTGGCCTGCTTGCCCCTCCTCTCAGGATCCCGGACCTTAAAACAACTTGGGTTGTCTGTCATCCACCCCCTTTGCAAAACTGAGCCCATGGAGCAACCTGTGACCCACCCTCAGGGCCTCAGGCCACTGGGCATCCTGGCCAGGCCAGGCTATGGTCACCAGGGTTGCTGGGATGTGCCCGTTCCCTGGGAAGAGAGATGTGGGCATGGCTGTGTGAGAGAATGGACCCCCCAGGTGTGCTCCAAAGTTCCTTATAGGCAAGTGCCCCCACCAGGGCCTACCCCACATGACCCAAGTTTCCCGAGATAGAGGGCCTGCCATACCCCAGATTCAGGTGGGCTCAGCCATAGGAAAGGAAGACCATGGGGTTCAGGGAGAGATCAGAGACAGGGGCCTCATCAGGGATGACTCTCCAGCCTTACACCAGCCTCCGAGGGGAACCTCCACCCCAGGAAGGAGGGGCCCCATGACTTGTGCCAGCATCCCCGCAGGAGCTCGCCTCCTACACCGAGGATGTGACATCACCTTTGGGTCATGTGGTAGGGGCCCCAGGCGTGAGGCTTGAGCATATAGGGAGAGACGTCATAAACCCAGAAGGTTTAGGCACATGGATTCTCACAGCTTTGGAGAGATCCTGGGTCTGGGGTGCTGGCCTTGCCCTGCCAGCCCCAGCTCTGAGCTACCCACATTGTGCTCCAGGGCTTACAGGGAGGGAGGGGGTGTCCTGGGTCGGGCCCACATCTGCCCCGCATGCAAGCTGCCCTCCTTAGAGGATGGGGTGGGTTCTTTTGGGGACCTGAGACCCCTGGCCTAGACCCACACAGGCTCTGCGAGACAGGCACCCAGAGGGGATGGGGGTCCTGAAGGGAAGATGAGGTTCCCAGCACCCGCTGGGACGTGCAGGGCAGTGGCCAGCCCGGGAGAAATCCTCCCCCATGACAGTCTGGGCCCTGCCCACTGCGACCTCCCCAAAGCCACCTGTTCGTGGTTCTTGGATCTGCTCTTCCCCGTTCGGTCCCACCATCACTGCCTCCACACCAGCATCTCACTAGGATTTTCTGCTCACAGGTTCTCCCATGACATTCCAAAAAGTGGAAACTACTTGTCCCCTGTATCCTCCCATGACCCTGTGGCTCAGCACAGCCCCCAGGCTCCACATCCAGAGCCCTTCCCAATCCTGCCAGTAGCTGGGTTGCAGCTAGACAGCCAGCCTCCCACCTCTGCTCTTTGCAAGTGGTGTTCCCTGGAACATCGCTTCCCTGCTCCACCGGCTGCTGTCCAGCCCTCTGCTAGGGAGGGAAGGGACCTGAAGAGGCTGCCGGGCGTCCACATTCCTTCTGCTGACTTCACACGACTGCCTAGCTTTCTCACCAGACCTGCCAGAGATAGTCGCCCTTCAGTTGCGAGGAACATGTGAGAGAAGCTGGCCACGCAGAAGGCAAGCTGGGAGTACAAATCCCTTGTGGCCTCAGTGTCCCACCCAGGGTGAGAAAACATACCCTCTTTGTTTGCAGTCTGAAGACAGGCTCCCCTGTGGGCCCTAGAGATCTCAGGGGAAGGATTTAAGTGGTCCCAGGTTGGCAGGGCAGCTGGAAGGCAGACTGCCTCCTCTGCGAAGCACTAGTGACATTCGAGGCTGAGTCGTGGGTGGGGGGATGGGAGGTTGTCTTCTGTGCTGTGTGACTGTGACGATAGTGACAGTGACAACATCTCTGGCTTGTATCCACACATCTAGTTCTGACAACTAATGTCTCAGGATGTTGCCAAATGTCCCGAGGGGTGGTGGTGGTAGAAACATTGTCCCTGATTGAGAATTACTGCCCCAGTGATTTCATGGAGGCCAAGTCCCAAAGAAATTAGGCATCTCCAAATTAAAAAAACATTTTCACAAACAACCAGGAGTGCACTTGCCATGAGAGCCAGCAGAGACAACAGATCCTGCAAATATTTCAGATATTGGAATTATCAGAGAATATATGGCTTTTATATAAAAGAGATTCTTGAAAATATAAACACGGCACAGTCTTTATATAGTTCATCCTATGAAATAATCTTTTAGTTTATAAAGATGAGCTATAAAGCATGAAAGATCAAACAACTTACAGAAATAAAATATAAATTAGGGATCCCTGGGAGGCGCAGCAGGTTTGGCGCCTGCCTTTGGCCCAGGGCGTGATCCTGGAGACCCGGGATCGAATCCCACATCGGGCTCCCGGTGCATGGAGCCTGCTTCTCCCTCTGCCTGTGTCTCTGCCTCTTTCTCCCTCTCTCTCTCTGTGACTATCATAAGCAAATAAAAATTTAAAAAAATTTAAAAAAATAAAAAATTAAAAATACATATATATATAAATTAAAATTAAACCTCAGGGATGCCTAGGTGGCTCAGCGGTTGAGCATCTGCCTTCAGCTCAGGTGGTAACCCCGGGGTCCCAGGATTGAGTCCCACATCGGGCTCCTCGCAGGGAGCCTGATTCTCCCTCTGTGTCTCTGCCTCTCTCTGTCTCTCATGAATAAATAAAATCTTTAAAAAGAAAAAAAAAAGAAAGAAATTAAACCTAAAATGGACTAAGCTGATGAAAGTTTTCAGCTGGAGTTGGTGAACCAGAAGAGTGTAGGAATGATCCAGAGCAGAGCCCAGAGTCTGATGGGAAGTGTGAATGACAGGCGAGGGTCACTCCTCTGGTTGCATTTCCTAGAAGAGGATGAGGAAGGAGGGGCAACACAGGAAGATACGCAGGCTTCCAGTTTTTCAGAATTGTCTAGAAATCTCAGTTCTCCAATCCGGAAATCACAACAAATGCCAGCCAGGCCCGGGAGGAAGAAATGCACATTCCCTCTCCTGAGACCATAGGAGAACCACCTATAAGGCCGGACCCAGAGCAACCTTTCACAGAGTGAACACAATATAAAAACATTTCAAAAACAAAAATTTTCAAAAAAAAAAAAAGATTTTACCAACCACAGGACTTAACTAAAGAATATTCCAGAGCCAGGACATTTTTTTTCTTTTAAAGGTTTTATTTATTCATGGAGAGAGGCAGAGACACAGGCAGAGGGAGGAGCAGCCCGATGTGGGTCTTGATCCCGGGATCACACCCTGAGCCGAAGGCAGATGTTCAACCTCAGAGCCACCCAGGTGTCCCCCGGAGTAAGGACTTGAGAAAAAAGGCAGCAGTGGAGAAGGAGCCCCGAATGAGGATGCGTTAGCCCCCCCACCGCCCACAGCAGAGCTCAGTGGTGCAGAGCTGCAGGTGTCTTCTCTGTTTCTGAGGGCGAGGCTCGGGAGCCATGGTGCTGGCCCTGCGAGCTGTCTGGGGCCATCTCTCCAGGGCCGGTTCCAAGCCTGGCTTCTCAGCTTCCCCTAGAGCCCATGGGGGAGGGGCACCTGCCTGAGACTCCAGAGTCACCGCGTCACCTCACCTCTGTCTTAACTCAAACCAATCCTTTCTCAGGGGTGTGGGAGGGGACTCGGGCACCACCTTTCCGAAGAAAGAGAATCAATCTGTGGGCGTATTTTAGTCAACCAAAATGCATCATTAAATCTAAGTAAACATGGACTGTGTACAATAGTAGTAATAATAGCAATGGTGCTAAGGGGAGGAGGGGCACGGGATGGAAGTGAGATTGTGTCCAAATGGCATGAGGAAGGGACGGCCACAGCTGGGGCCCTCCACCGTGCGTGAATTGTTCACAAGGAGGGAAACGATTTTCACTGTAGATTTTATGAAGTATGTGTGTTAAAATAACACGGTGGCTCTCCAATGTGCACCTTCCCAAGAATGGAGGTGCAGGGGAATGGGGTGAGAAAGGGGAAAAGTGCAATCTTAAGAAGAAGAGAGAACACAATTAGGTGATGAAGATACATTGGTAATCACGATATATGCAAGTAGACTCAACTCTTTTTTTTTTAAAGATTTTATTTATTTATTTATTCATGAGAGACACAGAGAGAGAGAGAGGCAGAGACACAGGCAGAGGGAGAAGCGGCTCCATGCAAAGAGCCCGATGTGGGACTCGATCCCGGGTCTCCGGGATCACACCCCAGGCTGCAGGCGGCGCTAAATCGCTGTGCCACCAGGGCTGCCCTCAACTCTATTTTTTTAATTTAAATTTGATTAATTAACATATAGTGTATTATTGATTTCAGAGGTAGAAGTCAGTGATTCCTCAGTTGGATAAAATACCCCTGTCCTCATGACATCACGTGCCCTCCTTCATGCACATCCCCCAGTTACCCCATCCCCCTACTCCCTTCCCCTCCAGGGACCCTCAGTTTGTTTCCTATGGTGAAGAGTCTCTTGTGGTTTGTCTCCCTCTCTGATTTCATCTTGTTTATTTTTCCTTCTCTTCCCCTACGATCCTCAGTTTTGTTTCCTAAATTCCACACGTGAGTGAAGTCATGATGAAAGGGCAGCCCTGGTGGCTCAGCGGGGGTTAAGCGCCGCCTGAAGCCCAGGGTGTGATCCTGGAGACCCAGGATCGAGTCCCACGTCAGGCTCCCTGCATGGAGCCTGCTTCTCCCTCTGCCTGTGTCTCTGCCTCTCTCTCTCTCTCTCTCTCATGAATAAATAAAATTATTTTAAAAAAATCATGATGAAAGTCTTTCTCTGACTGACTTCACTCAGCATAATACCCTCTAGCTCCATCCATGTTGTTGCAGATGGCAAGATTTCATTCCTTCTGAAGGCTGAGTAATATTCCATTGTGTATATAGGCCACGTCTTCTGTGTCCACTCAACTGTCAACGGACATCTGGGCTCTTTCTATAGTTTGGCTATCGTGGACACTGCTGCTGTGAACATTGGGGTGCAGGTTTCACAACATTTGTATCTTTGGGGTAAATATCTAGTAGTGCAATCACTGGGTCATAGGGCAGCTCTAATTTCAACTTCTTGAGGACCGTCCACACAGTTTTCCAGAGTGGCTGCACCAGTTTGCATTCCCACCAACAGTGCAAGAGGGTTCTCCCTTCTCCACTTCCTCTCTAACATTTGTTGTTTCCTGTCTTTTAATTTTTGCCATTCTCACTGGTGTGAGGTGGTATTTCATTGTGGTTTTGATTCATATTTCCCTGATGATGAGTGATATGCAGCATTTTTTTACGTGTCTGTTGACCACCTGTAGGTCTTCTTTGGTAAAATGTCTGTTCATGTCATCTGCCCATTTCATGATTGGATGATCTGTTCTTTGGGTGTTGAGTTTGATAAGTTCTTTATAGATCTTGGATACTGGCCCTTTATCTGATGTGTCATTTGCAAATATCTTCTCCCATTCTGTAGGTTGTCTTTTGGTTTTGTCGACTGTTTCCTTTGCTGTGCAAAAGCTTCTTATCTTGATGAAGTCCCAATAGTTCATTTTTGCCTTTGTTTCCCTTGCCTTTAGGAACGTGTCTAACAAGAAGTTGCTGTGGCCGAGGTCACAGAGGTTGCTGCCTATGTTCTCCTCTAGGATTTTGATGGATCCCTGTCTCACATTTAGATCTTTTCATCCGTTTTGAGTCTACTTTTGCATATGGTGTAAGAGAATGGACCAGTTTCATTCTTCTGTATGTGGCTGTCCAGTTTTTCCAGCACCATTTATTGAAGAGACTATTTTTCATTGGATATTTTTTAATGATTTTATTTGTTTATTCATGAGAGATACAGAGAGAGAGGTGAAGACACAGGCAGAAGGAGAAGCAGGCTCCATGCAGGGAACCTGACGTGGGACTTGATCCCAGGTCTCCAGAATCACACCCTGGGCTGAAGGCGGCATTAAACCACCAAGCCACCCGGGCTGCCCTCCATTGGATATTCTTGCCTGCTTTGTTGAAGATGAGTTGACCATACAGTTGAGGATCCATTTCTGGGTTTCTCTTCTGGTCCATCGAACAGTGTGTCTGTTTTTGTGCCAGGACCATACTGTCCTTATGATGACAGCTTTGTAATACAGCTTGAAGTCCGGAATTGTGATGCTCCTGGCATTGGTTTTCATTTTCAACATTCCTGTGGCTATTTGGGGTCTTTTCTGGTTCCATACACATTTTAGGATCATTTGCTCCAACTCTGTGAAACAAGATGATGGTATTTTTTTTTAAGATTTTTTATTTATTTATTCATTAGAGACACAGAGAGAGAGACAGAGGCAGAGATACAGGTAGAGGGAGAAGCAAGCTCCATGCAGGGAGCCTGACGTGGGACTCCATCCCAGGTCTCCAGGATCACGCTCTGAGCTGAAGGTGGCGCTAAAACACTGAGCCACCCGAGCTGCCCAAGATGATGGTATTTTGATAGGGATTACACTGAATATGTCGATTTCCCTGGGAAGCATAGACATCTTAACAATATTTGTTCTTCCAATCCATGAGCATGAAATGTTTTTCCATTTCTTTGCGTCTTCCTCTAGTTCTCTCATGTGTATTCTGTAGTTTTCTGAGTATAGATCCTTTGCCCCTTCGGTTAAGTTTAGTCCTAGGTCTCTTATGGCTTTGGGTGCAGTTGTAAATGGGATCAATTCCTTAATTTCTCTTTCTTCTGTCTCATTGTTAGTGTATAGAAATGCCACTGATTTCTGTGCATTGATTTTGTATCCTGCCACTTTGTGAATTTGTGTGTGAGTTCTAGCAATTTTAGGGTGGAGTCTTTTGGGTCTTCTACAAAGAGGATCATGTCATCTGTGAAGAGTAATATTAATTCTAGTTTAATTGTCAGATTGGAGTTTTAGAAATTCGGATAGCTGTTTCAAGAGAGAGAGATCTAAATATTGGTTTCAAACACAAGACAAAACAAAAAAGAAAGAAAAGCTTGAGTAGTTGTATTAATATAAAAGTAAAGAGATTTGGGGCACCTGCGTGTCTCAGTCAGCTAAGCGTCTGCCTTCGGCTCAAGTTGTGATCCCAAGGTCCTGGGATCGAGTCCCACATCAGCTCCCTGTTCAGGGAGGCTCCTGCTTCTCCCCCTCCCTCTGTGCACTCGAGCAATCTCTCTCTTTCACTCTCTAAGTAAATTTCTAAAGTATTTTTTTTAAGAAGGGGTAGTATACAGTAAAACATTGCCCCCAAGCAGAGCAGATGAAATAAAACCCCACAGTGACACCATGTGCTGGCGAGCATGCAGAGAAACTGAATTGCTTGAATATTGGTGGGAATGTCAAAAGACACAGCCACCCTGGAAAAGTTAACTGGGACTCTTGGGTGGCTCAGCGGTTGGGCGTCTGCCTTTGGCTCAGGGTGTGATCACGGGGTCCTGGGATCAAGTCCTGCATCAGGCTCCCTGCAGGGAGCCTGCTTCTCCCTCTGCCTGTGTCTCTGCCTCTTTCTGTGTGTCTCTCATGAATAAATAAATAAAACCTTAAAAAAAAGAAAAACTAACTAAAGTTAACTTATCACATGTGATGACTAGTTATTTTGTGTGTCACCCTGGCTGGGTGCCCAGACATTTGGTCAAACCCCTATCTGGATGTTGTTGGGAAGGTAAGCATTCGATGTGATGAACGTTAACATCAGTAGACTCTGCGTCAAGCAGATCACCCTCCAGAATGTGGGTGGGCCACATCCAATCAGTTTAAGGCCTTGAAAGAGTAGAGCCCCTCAAAGAGGAAGGGTTTGTGCCCACAGATGCCGTTTGGACTCAAGACTACAACATGGGGGATCCCTGGGTGGCGCAGTGGTTTGGCACCTGCCTTTGGCCCAGGGCGCGATCCTGGAGACCCGGGATCGAATCCCACGTCAGGCTCCTGGTGTATGGAGCCTGCTTCTCCCTCTGCCTGTGTCTCTGCCTCTCTCTCTCTCTCTCACTGTGTGCCTATCATAAAAAAAAAAAAAAGACTACAACGTGGAATCTCCACCCCCACCCCACTGAGCCTCCAACCTGCTGATCTGACCTGCAGACTTCAGACTTGCCAGTTCTTCAAAATGCATCTTTCCCTCTCCCTCCATATACACACAGAGCCTGTATGAAGCAACCATTCTTGGGCATTTTCCCAGATACATAAAGGCACTTGCATGCAGGAACGTGCACATAGATGTTTATAGCAGCTGTATTGGTAATAGCCCCAAACTAGAAACTACCCAGATGCCTTTGGGAGACTGGTTGCACAAACTATGGTCCATCCACACCCTTGGATACAATTCAGCAATGAAAGGAAGGAGCTACTGATACACTCACCCATGTGGGTGAACCTCAGGGAACCTGCTGAGTGGTAAAAGCCAATCTCAGAGTTTCAGAAACACGATGCAGAAGCACTTGTAACAAAACATAATCAGAGGTGGATGTGGCTGGAAAGGGGTCATGTGAGGGTATCTGATGGTTTAGTTGGGTCTCTTGGTTAAGGTTGTTAAGTGTGGCTGCACATGTGAAGAGAGCCGCAGACGTGCACACACAGAGAAGTTAGCGCATACAGAACCAGTGAAGTCCAAGCGAGCATCTGCGATGGCACCAGGGTCTGGGTGTTGGCATTGCTACTGCACTGCGTGGGTGTGTGGGATGCCTGCATTGGAGGCACTGAACCTCCACGTATGATTCTTCATCCTCTATTCGAGATGAATATACATATACAGGGAGACTGTCAGAACAATAAAGGAAAATCAGTGAACCCCCCCCCCCATCACAGCTGGAGATGCTAATAATATCAGGCCTGAGTTTTACAGGCAAGTTCTACACATTGGTCATGGAAGACGTAGTCCAAATGGTATGTAAATTTTTCCCAAGGAAAATGTTATGATGCCAGTACAAGCTTGATATCCAGATCAGAGAGGGACTTCACAGCCTAAGTACAGTCTGATCCCATCCCAACAACACCCCTCAGCCTTGGTTCCTCGGTGAGTTCGCAGGCTTAGGGCTTGGCGGTGGGTGTGGGGGGGTACCGCAGGCATGTCCAGCAAAGGAAGGAGAGGAGTCCTAATTTACGGGGAAGGAGGAGGAAGTGCAATTGGTCCCCGCACCCAGGTTGGCTGAAGGTCGGCAGGAGCCCCAGTAATAGACTTGGGTGAAGTGCGGGGGACGACTTCTTCCAGGAGGGGCAGAGGGCATCCCTCCCTGGTGGGGCCCCATTGAGAGGCTGTGGGCTCTGTGATGGGGCTTCCTCCTGGGGGTACTGCTCCCCACTCTGGGCCACGGCCCCATGTGAGCAAGGTTGCTCTTTACTAAGGCGCACACCTCACCTGGTGTGTAGATCCATTGTGGTTGCAGTTGTCACCCCAATAGGGTTTGTCAAAGAACATGGTGAGCCAGTTCTGAAAATGTCTGTGGAAGAGCCCAGGGCTCCAGGAACAGGAGCGAGAAGAGCAGACTTTCCTCCTGGCGATGGAGACATGCGGCAGGTGGAGGGGGCATGGCCCAGGCCCTCCACATACATCAGGGCAGGAAGGCCAGCCCGTGCGATGCAAGGCCTGGGCCCCAGGTTCTCTGCACAGGGACACGGGAACCAGAGCCCTTCCCTCATATCCTACACGCAAATCACTTCTGGGTAGATCAAAGGCTCACCACGAGCAGAACAATAAAACTTTAGTGTGCAACTCTGGAGAACATCTGATGACCTCATGGTGGACTACGTGTTCGGACTAATTCAGAGCCTCCATGACTTCACTGCCAGAGCGTTCACGTCCAGAGAGTAGGCAAAGATAAACCATCACCAGAGATGGGGCAGATGGCACCATCATTCCAAAGGCTATATAGGATTTGGTAGTGAGCTGAACACACTCGTGCACGCAGCCACCAGCTAGTTCCTAGGACCTCCTCCCAAGACATGCTTGCAAGTGCACTAATGCCTCGAGCGGCAGCCCAGAATGAAGGACAACAGCATGAGCTGTCGACACGGATGAATCTCAGAAACTGCGAAAGAAGCAAGTGACACAAGTGTGTTGGGTGAAGCCCAGGAGGACCAGCAGGGCACATTGTTTAGGAATAACACTGACCAGAACGTCTGGGTGGCTCAGCAGTTGAGCGTCTGCCTTCAGCTCAGGGCATCACCCCGGGGTCCTGGGATCGAGTCCTGCATCGGGCTCCCTGCATGGAGCCTGCTTCTCCCTCTGCCTGGGTCTCTGCCTCTCTCTCTGTGTCTCATGAATATATAAATAAAATCTTAAAAAAAAAAAAAAGGAATAACGTTGACAGGTGGGAACCCCTATAAAAGAATGAGGGAGTCCCCAAACACAGAATCCAAGACAGAGGGGCCCCCTGGTTGGGACCACCAAGGGGCATCTGACATGCAGAGGCACATGCACCTGTTCCCCAGGCTTCCACGGTATGCGTGCGCCCCACCCGCTCATCTGGGTGTGTGTGCTCCTCACAAGGCAGCACAGGCTTCTCTCCCTCCTGGGGAGCCTTTGGCAAGTGTGTTCCTCAGGGCAGGTGGTGGCGAGGCCTCCCTAATGCCCACACCGTGTAGCTCAGGAGCACCAGTTGCTCTCTGTACATGTGCAGAGCCTGGTATGCCTCTGGCTCACAGGAGGCGCTCAGCAGGTGTTTGTTGAACAGCTGAACGAGCACACAAAGAAAGGGAACGGGAAGCGGTGAACTTTGGTGAAGGGAAACCTCATGAAAGTGGACTCTGAATGCCAGAAGGGGAAGAAGCATCAGTCCCGGGCCCCAGCAGGGAGACATGCACACTGTCTCTCCTGCAAGAGATGCCACCCCCTGCAACTCACCCAGTGGGCCTGGGTTCAGGACACCCCTCCCACTTCCTTCTTCTCCATAAAATAGCATTCCTCTCCTTTGTTGGATGTGCCTGTGGTTTTGCCAGGGCATGCAGATGCCTATGGACCATTCTCCATTATTCCCAATAAACCAATTTTTGCTGGCAAAATCCTTTTTTTTTTAAGATTGTATTTATTTATTCATGAGAGATACACAGAGAGAGGCAGAGACACAGGTAGAGGGAGAAGCAGGCTCCCTGTGGGGAGCCCGATACGGAAATCGATCCCAGGACCCCAGGATCACACCCTGAGCCAAAGGCAGATGCTCAACCACTGAGTGGCTCAGGAGCCCTAGGCTGTCTTTTTTTTTTTTTTTTTAAGATTTTATTTATTTATTCATGAGAGACACAGAGAGAAAGAGAGAGGCAGAGACACAGGCAGAGGGTAGGAGCAGGCTCCACGCAGGAAGCCTGATGTGGGACTCGATCCTGGGACTACAGGATCACGCCCTGGCCAAAGGCAGGCGCTAAACCGCTGACCATCCAGGGATTCCCTAGGCTGTCTTATTTTTAAGGTCAACAGAGTGAAGGCCTTTACGGGTTAAGATGTTTCAGGCGCAAGATGCTATGGCTCCCATTGAGAGTGAGGTAGACTTAGCCCATATCCCAGCGAATGCCCCCCACCTGGGTGGTCTGGCTCCTATGGGGGAGGAGGCACTGAGGACCTCCCTTCCCGCACCTCCCTGCAAGTGGTTCCTCTGCCAGGATCCAGGGCCAAGCCATGTGCCACACATCTGGAGGCCTCCTAACCCCAGTCACCCCTGGGGTTCCTGGAGGACCCTTCTACACAGAAACTCTCCTCTCGTGTGCCTCCCCCCCCCCCCACCTTCCACTCCTGGAAAGAAGGGTGTCTCTGCACCAAGGAAGGATATTGCCCCCCCTTCTGTCTCTGAGAGAAGGCACTCCCAGGCTTTGCCCTGGCTGTTCCCTGTTCCCTGCCTTCCCTCTCTTCTGGGACTAATCTGGGCCCTGGGCCACGTGTCCAGGCCTCTGCGTCCAGGCCTCTGCTACCCTGGCCCCATCCTCTGGTGGCTGGTGCGTCCTGTCCAAGGACCAACCAGAACATCTGGGAGGCCCTGCTTGGGCTTAGTGGGATGCGGCATGGGGGCGGGAGCCACACGGGTGGGCGGGCCTGCAGGCAGCCCTCTGCCCTCTCTCGCACTGGGCTCCCTTTGGGCCATGTTCATTTGTTTGTCTCTTTCTTTTCAAGCTCATCTGTAGGCCTCTCCCTCCTCTGAACTTTGCCCAAGGAAGAAAGGCCTAGAAGGAGGGGGAGGGGTGCTGGCGAACCGGGCCTGGAGCCCTGTGCTGGCCACACCCAGAGACTCTGCTGGGGCCCTGCCAGCTAGGGCTGTGAGGAGGCTGAGCCATCTCTGGTGCTCCCACCCTTTCTGCTGTTGGGGTCCAAAGCGGAAAGAAAGGCCTCTTTGCTGGGCCTGTGACACCAGACCCTCAGCCTGGACAGCCTCCCAGCCCAATTGTCTCTGCCGGTTCCAGCCAGCCAGAGTGCTGCCCAGACCCTGCCCCCACCAAAGGCCACCCTCTTGGCCCCCCACCTCCCTGCCCCCAGTCCCTGGCCCTCCTGGGTGGGTTTACCACATGGTTCCCTGCTGTTACACGGCCCCAGGGATGCTTGGTTGCTGGAATTCCTCTTTTGCCCAGGGCACGAAGTGGGGGTGGCCCCTGGCCAGGAAAAGGAGAGATGCTTGGCCAGGCTGGCACACAGGGTGCGTGGGGAGTCAAAGCATAGAGGCCAGAC